ACGACTATGTAGCGAAAATTTCCGTGTCGTTTCAACCAATGACAAGTTACCGAGTACCAACATTTATAAGTCCAGCGCTGCCAAAATGAAAGCAGAGTTCCACTTGGGAATGCAGATGGTTTTTGAGCCAATATATACAGATCTGTGTCTTTATCGGTGTCTTCGGCAGTTGCCAGTAGAGGGTAGCGCTGGAGTAGATCCAAAGCGATATCTAAAGAGAGTAACAATTAGGGAAACGATGTTTTCGGATGAAGGGTCGGAGGCTAATGACGTTCACCCGGAAGATCTGTCTCGAACCTCCGACCCTCTGCTTGTATCACAAGGAATCAAAATAGATGAAAAATGAAAACAATCCTTTGGTTTTTTGCATACCATAAAATTCATCCATAATGCAAGCTGTAAGAAAAATAGCTCCATGGTTTGTATTCCTGGGATCAAGCTCTTCAATGGGAGTCTCCAAGTAAAGATACTGCACTAAATCTTTATGTCCATAGAGAGCAGCAACAACAAGGGGGATCTGATCATAATCATTTGGAATCGTAAGCAAGTCTCTATTCTTTTCCACCAATAACTCGGCAATCTCCGTGACTCCTCCGATGGCGGCAAAATTAAGGGCAGTCGAACCAAGTATCTGTTTAACCGCTACATCTTCTGCCGACATGCGCCCCACCAACTTCTCGACGATGTCTACGTGACCGGCTAGGACAGCGATGTGAAGGGCGGTGTCTCCGTCGGTAGAAAGGCTACCGTACAATGCATTGGGATACTGGTCCAGGAACTTCTTGGTAGCTTCCAAATCACCACCATCCACTGCTTTGTACAATGGGAGATGTTCAGTGGTACTGCTCGTTGATCTCCTATAAGGAGGGGCCAAATCACCATGTGTAGCTTCCAGTGGCCTCATTTTCTAATGGATAAACAGCCTATTTTTTAAAAATTGAAAAATGCTTAATATCACGTTAGAACAATATAATGAAAACCCAAAGCAAACCAAAATTTTCATATGATCACGCTTAAATAAAAATGTATGCAGCATATGATTTCATTATATTATCACTTACAGGCTATATTTTCCAGGCCTTTTGCACTGCAAGCATGAACTGAAGGCACTCCAATATTTGACAACCCATAAGATTATATAAAGAAACAAGAAGTTAGTCTCAGTCGTTTATTTCTACTCATCCAATGACCCTAAAAAAATATAAAATTAAAATATTTTTCACTTTTTGAACAAATCTGGACTTTATATATATATACATGTATAATATATTTGTGTCCCTTAGAGTAGTGTTCCAACTGTGTTTTATCCCCACATGCAGTAGCTTCTTCTACTTTTCTCTACAAATTGCTAACATTCCAGTTGATGAAATTGCTTTTGTGCCTTGCAAGTATAAACAAAGAATAAACCCTGGGGTATTGAAGAGGACTTGGAGTACAAGTTTAAAGAAGAAAAGAGAAAAAATAATGCAAAGGGAGAAAGCGCAAAAGAGAAAAGATGATATTGTTTGATGCTAATTAGTATTCAAAAATTCATTTAACAAGCTCCCATATGGTACTGTTCAATATAAATTTAATATTATTAATTATTAAGCATAAATATGATTTACACCTATAAAGGTAGGTATTATATATATATATATATATATATATATATATTAATGTATTAAAAAATAATTGACAAAATAATAATAGATTAATTTTCAATCATCTAAAACAAGCTAATTTATGGAAATAATACTTATTTTTAATTTGATTACTAAAATAACACTCAAATAACATTATTTAAAAAAATAATACTTTTTATCACACAGCGTAAAGACGTATGCAACTGGGGATATCTTAACAAAAGACGCTCTCAAGCGGATACGTCTTTTTCCTACACGATAAGAAACACTAAAATTCTTTATTTTGATTGACTGAAGAGGAAAGACGTAGATTTGTATTTTTACCTCCCATCCAAAATTTTAAAATATTCGAAGACATACTTTTTTAGCCGTACCATTTAATTTAGACATCAATATTTATACTCTCATCAAACTTATATTAGTATGAATGATAAAGGCTACCAACATACCAAACAACTCGTCTCTTCAACATCATCCTAACTTCTCATAGGAGACATGGTTTTAGGTTCTTCAAATATATTTAGTCTGTTGAATAAGTTTTTTAATAGTTGGAAGCAATTATAAGATAGTATTTATTTAGAATTTTCATAATCTATTGGTAATGCATACATACCTTACAGACACAACTATTTAAATCTAAGACCTCTATAAAGAATAATCTTTCTTTTTACGGCTGATATCACTTGATGGGTATGTGATCGATCTATAGTTCCTGCAACACTTCGTTTCACTAGCTCTAGTATTCAGTAAACAAACTTTTCTCATAAGTTCTTAATTTCTCTCAACCATTCTCTATAATTTCTTCCCTTTCACATAGGGTTATGCTTTATCTGTCTTTTTGAAAAATTAAAATTATTTTATAAAAATTTATAATTATAAAATTGTATATCCTCGTCTAATCTGCCCTTAATATCATATTATTTTCTTTCATTTTTAATATACTAAAATCAAATTGATTATGTATTTGCTCAAAAATTTTTAAATCTAATGACAATGTACACATATAGTGAAGACGTAACTGCGCAAACTCAAAATCTCTAAAAAAATAATAATATTCTTAATAAAATCAGTTAATTAATATCCCAAACACCAAATCTTATATCTATCTCTAGATATTATCCCATAATTACCTAAGATCGGTTAATTATTATAAAGATGTTCATTGAAACCGGAAGACAGTTTCTTAACGATTATAAAATAAATAATAAATTGGCATTTTCCCGCTGAAAGGAAAAAGAGTAATAAGCTTGTGGCCAGAAAGAACTTAATAAGTATGGAATGGAGAAATATTAGAAACAAAATAATTTAGCAGAAAATAAGAAAAAGACTAATTGCATTGACTATTCTTAATCTTCGTGTTTTCCAAAGTCAAATAATGTTTGCCTCAGTGTTCACTTCATCTACCAACAATTTTGGTCCTCTCTTTCCCTTCTGCTTCCCCCGCAGAAAGAATCCACCCTTTCTTCGCCGCTCATCATCAGCCATGGATTCTCAGTTTCCCACCGGCGGGACAACCCCAAAGCGTCCGCTTCAAATCCAAGGTCCGCGACCAACTCCACTAAAAGTCGGCAAAGACTCCCATAAAATCAGAAAACCGCCTCACCCACCACCCCACGCCGCAGCTGCAGGCCCACCACCAGCTGCAGATCAACGCCGTCAGCCTGTCATCATCTATGCCGTCTCACCCAAAGTCATCCACGCCGAAGAGTCCGAGTTCATGTCCATCGTCCAACGCTACACGGGACTTTCATCCGTCAACTTCTCTGGAGACGGCGACGTATCCCCTGCGGCGAGGTTGGCAGTGACGGAAAAGGCGAGTCCCGGCCCTAGAGAGAAGACACTGGACTCGGAGATTATGGGGGATGGTGGGATGGAAGAGGGTCTGATTCGACCGCCGACAGGGATACTTTCGCCTGCACCGGATACGTTGCCGACTGTGTCGACGGGGACTTTCTTTACACCAGCTTCGGAAGCGAGAATGATGTCGCCTTGGCACGATTGGAGCCCGATGGTACATGGAAGTGGGTTCATGGCTAGCCCTTCAACGTTGCTTTCGGGGCCTTTAATTTCTTCTCCAAATTCCGACATTTTTGCTCAAATTTGGAACTTTTAGCCATTCCTTTTGAATATTTCCGAATCAAATTTTGGGGTTTACAAATCTGGGGATTCTATTACTAGATTAGATCAGATTCCTTCAAATTGTAATAATCTTAGTTAATAAATAATGTCTCAAATTTACTAACTTTTTTCCCCATATAGTATATAGAGAGAATTAGAGTAGGATGGTTCATTTGTTCTCAAGGGATTTTGTCTGTGCGACTTATTTTATTTTTCTGGGAATTGTAATTGTAGAATATGGGAATTTCTTGGACAATGGAGACTGACTTTTCTTTGTTATTTTATGATGACAGAATCATTTTGTTGTATTTCCTTCCATTTAAATTATTTTCTCTAAAATTAGTAATACTTGTAAACAAAAGAAAACAAGCACCAATTTTCTCTAAAATCTGGAATATATAGATATAGATATAGAAATATATAAAGATGTGTACCTTCCTCAAATTTGGTCCCATGCCATAAGATTGTGATCTGGTGGTCCATTTCTCAATTATTATGTTGGAGTTTTCTTCCATTTCCCACGAAAACCTAAGATACCCTAGATACTTTCTTTGACATAAACATAGATGTGAATGACATTTGCAGAGAAGTAAGAGGTAACCACCTACGATGTCGGAGGAGGTAACGGCAGGCAGCCGAGAAATGTCTGCTACAGTGCTACTGAGTAAATGACCATGTTTAAGTGATGGTAAACATTTGTGCAAGTTATACATTTTTGCCACCAATTTCCGGAACCTGGGAGAAGAAAACCTGCTAAGCATTCGAAATAGAGAACGACATCAGAGGTAAATACAAGCCAGTTTTTCACAGTTAAAAATGTTAAGCGTCGAAGCAGTTATGACATAATGAAATAAACCTGGAGGTCCCGTAGCAACCAGGGCTCCGATGAACTCTTTAATTACTGATCTTTAAACCTTGGATCTCTTCCACAAGTAAAGGAACTGATGATATAAGAAAAGAAATAACAAGCCAAAATGTAGTACTCAATCCCTTGTGCCCCTCACAACTGCTTACCACAAACATTATAAAATTCATGTCAAAAGTCATTGAAGAATCGCTTGTTCGATTGAGATTGCTACAAAGTTTGAATAGGACTACGTTCTGCATATTTAAGTACAAAATCAGCAATGATGATAATCTTGATTGGTCGAAAGAGTGGACTGAACTTCAGACTTAATGGTTTTCATCTCGGTTTTCAAACGAAAACTCTCAGCATGCTTAGGCAATGAAAAACCATCAGATACATTCTTTTTTTTCCTGGGAAATGAAAAGCAAAGTAGGAGAAGTCCCTACATGTTAGGAAACTGCAGTGGATATCTTCATGTCCTTGCCACCACTGAGTTCCATGTTCCTCCGATCAATGTACCGACCTTCTCTCCCTTTATTGCTTTTGAAATGTTACCGATTTTGTTCAGATTGAAGACAACAACTGCATTGAAAGAAAGACACTTAGATGAATTAACTCCTATTCCCTTCAGTTTACTCACTTCGCCAACTTGCAAATCCCAAATATAAACCACTTCTAAGTTACACTTATGCAGATTACAAAAGTTTAAACATACCGGGAATGTTATTTTCTTGGCACAGAGTAATGGCAGTCATGTCCATGACGGATAGATCTTTAGAAGTGACCTCATGATAAGTTAGTGTATCATGAAGACGAGCACTTGGATTATGCCTAGGATCATCATCGTTGCTGCATTGACTGAGCCAACAAATAGAACATTAGTTCTATTTCAAACCATAGCTTTGTCTTGGCATTAAAAGAAACATTTATTGGAAAAAAAGTTAAACAAATTCACATTTTAAGTCTGTTAACACTATTCCAACAAAATTCATCTGTGCAAGATTTATATATAGTACACTCCAATAGTGTCAATGGCTTTGGATATAAAAAATGAATTCAGTTGAACAATTGTCAAGCCAAGCTCAAGCAGCTCGACTTATTGAGCGAGCCAACTTACGCATCCTGATGCCCTGCATAAGTAGCTTGAGAGAGAGAGATTAAACCAGCGGTTTGTTTCGAATATTCAAACTTGAGCTTGAGCACAAAAATTGAGATAAAGTTAAGAACTTGAGCAGTTCAATATTTAGCTCCATCAAGCTCGACTCAAGTTTTGAGCCCCTAATTCTGAATGAAGAAAAAATTACTTACTTTCTGCACAACAAAGGGCTGCAGCAGTATCTGTAGTGAAAAACGGATTACCAGTTCCAGCTGCAAAAATGACAACCCTTCCTTTCGCCAAATGCCTCGCAGCCCTCCGACGTATATATGGCTCTGCAACCTCTGACATACAAAATGCAGTCTGGACACGTGTTGGGATGCCGATACTCTCCATTGCTGCTTGAAGAAATATAGCATTTATTGCGGTTGCTAACATACTAATAAAACAATGTGGCAATAATACACATAAGAAAGCGAGAGATAAAATTATACCCATTTAGTTATGGTCTTTGAATTAATTTTTTTTTGACAAACTACAACAAAGGAGTATCAATTAAGCACTTTAAATGGTCAATTAAGGAAATAGAATCTCAGTAAAAAACCATAAAGACATCTGAAACAGATAACAAAACATCAACTAAAATAAAATATTTACCCGATGTAGTCGGCAGACGAACGGTCAAGCCCACTCGATCCTGCCCAAGAGGATCCACGAAAAATGTTACCCCCACCAACCACAATTGCGACCTGTGGACATGTACTTAAATGATTCAGACATATAAAACAAATCAAACAGTGTTGTTTCTAATCTCTTTCAGTTAGCAAGTTCACACAAACAAGGGTGACTCTTTCTTGCTAAGCAACATCCTCCCAGAATTTTTTTAATAACTTCATGAGAAAGCATTTATCAAGTAAGTTACAACTCCAGGTAATTTATAGTCTGCTCAACTTCATTAACAAGCAAGATTGATGCCATTTTATTTTGTAGTATGAACTGTTTATCCTACTCAAATTAAACATTATATTGCAATAATATACTTACTAAAACTGAGAAAAGATAAGTTAAGCAACCACAACCAAATTTAAAGGACTAGAGAAGAAAGAAAAAGGCACAAAGTATATAAATGAAAGAAGAGAGTTCAGACTGGCCTCAATGCCCAAGCATGTCACTGATGCAACCTCCGTTGCAATAGCCATTGTAATCTGTATCCAAGTAGACACTTCATACTTCATTTATTATCAAGAAATATAACACAAACTAAGACAGTTTATTCACAGGTCAATGTTTTGAGACTGATCGCCTGCAAGTGCTTATCCACTTACTTTAAGCAAAACCCTTTGCCATTTATAAGAAGGTTTGTCATTCGTTTGCATTCCAAACGGATCCAAGGATGACATGTGATTATGCCTGCTAAAACAAGGTGGTTAAAAATGTAGATAATCAAGTGCATTCAAGGATGTTGAGAAAAATGAAGGGGTGTGGGAGGGTTGGAGAGAAGTTTCAAGCAAATATAGAGCAAACCATGGGACCATAGCCCACATGTATGAATCAAGAATTTCAATTCAGTAACCTTCAAAACAGCAATGGAAGATTGAACTCTCAAGCATAAATGATTATAATAGCATCCTCAACAAGCTAAAAAATTAAATAAAAATATAAGGATAAATCAATAATTCTGATTCCTTAACCACAGAATTATCTAAGGAGAAAATCAGAGTCTCAAGTATTAGATATGAGCTAAAATGATTTCTTATGCACGTGAAAGAACCCGCCAACATAGCTCAAGACTGATACTAAGAATTGTTAAGATAAATTTATATCTCTCATATACCTTTTCCACTGCCAAGATGAGCACAAAGTAAGCATGAGACCATCGAATAGTTTGACTATTAGGAATTAAAAAGACAACGTTGTACACAGCTAAAGTTCACCATAAATTGCTAGGTTCCTTATAACAATCATTTCATATCACTTTTACATTAGTCATAGTAACTTCAACATTTTATAGAGACTTTGCAACTGAAATAGGATTAAAAAAAATTGAAAAATATTGTTCAAAGAGCAAATCCATTTATACTGACATCGGATACATAAGTGCAAGAATTTTGGAATTTCCACTTTTCCTCGAAATTAATGCCCGCTTATTATCAGAATTATAATAGAATTACCAACATAAGCACATACCATAGAATATATAATCAAATTCTAACAATACGACAACAAGACCCACACTGAGCATCAAAACTCACAGTACATAAACAAAAATAGAACGATGAGACATACCTTGAGTTCATGGGTTTTCACAGAAGTACGACTAAAAAATGATGACTAACATGAAGAGATTGGACCAAATGAGATAATGGGTAGAAAAGGAGTAGAGACTGGCATGGGAAAAACTGGGTTTTTTTTTTTATTTTCTTTATTTAGAAACAAAAATGAAAATTTGATTTACTGCAAAAGAATAATGGGCTGCTTCAAATTGGTGCCGCCAAAGTGATAAGCTTTGAAGTTGGGTCATAAACTAGGATAGATGGAAAAAAGCCCAATTTAGGCCGAAACTAAAACATATTCTTTCCTTTATTTATGTTCATGGTCCAATAGCCTTCTCAAAGAATTAAAAACTTAAGCCCATAAAAAAAAAACTCAAGAAATAACTCAAACGCTCGTCACCCCTCTTTCTGTCTCACTCTGCATCTCTCTTCCTCGTAAAACAGCAAGCAAAACCCTAGCAGCAATGGCATCCATGCTGGTAACTTCACTTGTCTTCACTCATTTTTCTTGGTGTTTTGAATTTCTTTTTTAACTGCTGCTAAATCTTTTCCCCTTTTTTTTGTTTCAGCAACCCCAAATCATTCTTTTGAAAGAAGGGACGGACACTTCCCAGGGGAAAGCGCAGTTAGTCAGCAACATCAACGCTTGCACCGCCGTGGCTGATGTGCTTAGAACGACCCTGGGTCCCAGGGGCATGGACAAGCTCATCCACGATGACAAAGGAAATGTCACCATTTCCAACGATGGCGCCACCATCATGAAGCTTCTTGATATTGTCCATCCTGCCGCCAAGATCCTCGTTGATATAGCCAAATCTCAGGACTCCGAGGTCACTCTCGCCGTCACTCCTTTTTTTTGTTGTAGATTCCGAATCGTTTTCTCCAGTTTTAGTTGAATTGTTTTTTGTATAGTTGCTTAGACCTTGGGTTTTCATTTGAAAACGTTTAATTTCAAGTTGGTTTTGTTTAGCATCACGAATCTGCTGAAGGTATTGGTGTTATCGAGATCCACTGTTTTTCATGCTATTTAGTTTATTTACACTACTTTCTTTTTGTGTCGTGCAGGTTGGTGATGGTACTACAACTGTTGTACTGCTAGCCGGAGAATTTTTGAAAGAGGCCAAGCCTTTTGTTGAGGATGGAGTCCACCCTCAAAATCTTATTCGCAGTTATCGAACTGCTTGCAATTTGGTTAGTTTGTGTTTTAGCCTCCTTTCATGGATTAGATGTTGCAGTAGTTTTTATGATTCTATTTATGCTGAATGTTTTACGCTACGGGCAGGCTATTGAGAAGATCAAAGAACTTGCTGTCAGTATAGAGGGGAAAAGTCTAGAAGAGAAGAAAATCTTATTGGCTAAATGTGCTGCAACAACACTTTCTTCTAAACTCATTGGTGGAGAAAAGGAGTTCTTTGCATCAATGGTTGTGGATGCTGTTATTGCAATTGGCAATGAAGATAGATTAAATATGATTGGAATTAAGAAGGTAATCTTCTGCTTCGTGCCTTATTGTCAACCTTTTTTACCCTTAACCTTTTTTTCTGATATTTATACTTGGATCTTTTAAAATGACACCTTAAATTTTGTTAGGAAAATGATATTTTGGACACAATGTGTCTTATATTTTTCTATCTTACTTAGCTGTGTGTAGCACCTGGCCGTTCTTTATGTTTAGATTCTCATCCATTAGTGATTTAGCTTCATGTAAGTGTAAGTGCTGCAATGTACCTTTAGGAAATGAGGTAGGCATCAATTTGACTTTGATTTCTATAAGATTTAATTTATGGGTCAAGGTTTTATGTTTCTTGTATCATATATCACTGTCATGCCAATAATTGATTTTTTTTTCTTTTGCAAGGTTCCTGGTGGTAATATGAGGGACTCTTTTTTGGTTAATGGTGTTGCCTTTAAAAAGACATTTTCATATGCTGGTTTTGAACAGCAGCCAAAGAAGTTTTTGAATCCCAAAATACTTCTGTTAAACATCGAGTTGGAACTGAAATCTGAGAAAGAAAATGCTGAGATAAGGTAGTTGTTTTTGCTATCTTGGGTTTGAATTATTTTTCCTTAAGTCAGTGTTGACTCTACCTTTTGTTTTATATGCTAGACTTTCAGATCCATCACAATATCAATCAATTGTCGATGCGGAATGGAATATCATTTATGACAAGTTGGATAAATGTGTGAAGAGTGGTGCAAAAGTTGTGCTCTCACGGTTGGCTATTGGTGATTTGGCAACACAGGTGTGAAATTTTCCCTTGATCGTAAATGCTGCATTTGTATTTCTTTAAACATGTCTCTGGTTGTGAAAATTAGTTTTACCTGGTGACTACAAAAGACCTATGGCCTTCTTCTCTCTTGCTACTTCGTTACCTGCTTGTGTGAGTTCTTTTGTTGGACCTTGTAAAAAAGTTAATGTAGCCATGTGCATGTTCTTATTTGAGACCTTATTATTCTGACATATCTATTTCTTTCCAGCTCCTGTGCTCTCTCTATTGATAGTTTTGCTTTTGCATGGAACTTTGAGGAGTGATGTTTCTCAGTTATTATGACTTCTTTATTCTCTCAAGTTTTATTGACTTGAATGTTTGTTGGCAGTATTTTGCAGACAGAGATATTTTCTGTGCTGGTCGTGTAGCTGAGGAAGATCTTCACCGGGTGACTGCTGCAACTGGTGGAACCGTACAGACATCAGTTAACAACATAATTGATGAGGTTTTATATACTTATGGAAATGTGGCCAACTCCCCCTTCCCAAGTTCAACCTTTCCAACTTATCAGTGCTTATTGAACTTCTTGAATCTAAGTTTCTTCTTTGTTGTTTTAAAGGTTCTGGGAACATGTGAGGTTTTTGAGGAAAAACAGGTTGGAAATGAAAGGTTTAATATATTCAGCGGTTGCCCATCAGGACAGACAGCTACCATAGTTCTACGTGGTGGAGCTGATCAGGTTTTCATATTTTTACTAGTGATTTTTATTAATATGACTACTTTTTCATGCTGATGTTGGAGACTAAATGATTATTTTCAGTTCATTGAAGAAGCTGAGAGGAGCTTACATGATGCAATTATGATTGTTAGAAGAGCTTTGAAGAACTCTACTGTAGTTGCTGGAGGTGGTGCAATAGATGTATGTATTTTACATAACTAGTGAATTGTTAAAGCATATTTGAAGACGATTTTTTATCTCGATATGTGATACTTGCCTTTGCTGGCAGATGGAGATAAGTCGATACTTGAGGCAACATGCACGCACAATAGCTGGGAAATCTCAACTTTTTATCAACTCTTATGCAAAAGCACTTGAGGTAGGTGTTTCTTCCCTCTGCTTTTTCTTCCTGGCTTATCTCAGATGTCTTTCATCTTCCTTAGAAGATAGACTCTTGCAAGGCTGGGCCTTGCAAAGCTGTTTTTTGATTTTTTTAATACAAAATAAGTCATTACCCTGCATGGATATACACATGTAGTCGTGCCACAACATTAATTTATGCCAAAGCCTCACTTGATTTTGATGAACCTTTTTTGAATTTATAGTCCCTTCGGGGACATCCGATAAAAAAGCAAATCTGAATTTATTTATTTTGTCAAAGGGAGCCTGTTGTGTTAATAATTACCAGAATAAAAGGAAGTTTGATATATCCGTGGGAAGATTCTATATACAGTTTATTGTCCTTCCTTGTTTATGCTTTTGTTTGGAGATATTTGGAGATCGCTGTTTAATTCCTGCCGTAGTATGATTTCATCATGAATGTATGAAAACAATAATATGATGAGAACAATATATTTGGGAAAGTAGGATGTAACATTGCCTTCTATCAAGATGAAACTTTTCAATTTGTGGGGCAATCGTTTGACATCTTGATGTTCTCATCTTCAGGTTATCCCACGGCAGCTTTGTGATAATGCTGGCTTTGATGCAACCGACGTGTTAAACAAATTAAGGCAGAAGCATGCACTTCCATC